TAAGTTATTCCTTCGTCCTCACAACACGTGCGTCTGTACTATTGCTAACAATACGTGCACTAGTACTTGGTGGATGGAACAAGTAAAGTCGTGTGGTGGCTTGCAGGCCTAATTATAAATAAGTTATCCTTCGTCCTCACAACACGTGCGTCAGTACTAATGCAAGCAATACGTGCACTAGTACTTGGTGGATGAAACAAGTAAAGTCGTGTGGTGGCTTGCAGGCCTAGCTAAAAATATGTTATCCAACGTCCTCACAACACGTCACCCCGAAGTTGTGTGCCAGGGAACATGCTGGCGTGTATCAATTCTGAAATATTCCTGATGCAGAAGAGTTTCACGAATATCCTGTTTTACTATAGAATAGTCGGCACAATTGCCATACGCATTCGTGAACCATTTAATATACACAGGTCCGACAAATGGATACCCACTTGATGACTCACACTATATTTTTAATCAAAACAGCAAATCACACTTATTTGCCTTCAACTCCAGACGGTCCACTCGTAGACAAGCGCTATGGATTCGTTATAGTGTATCCTAAACTACGTTACCTTTAAAACACGTGCGCTTTAGATCGACAGTGTACAACGGTCTGGTATCTGATTATCGCTTACTCTCCAATACATCTCTCGATTACACAGCAAATCACCCATATGTGTATTAGAGTCATGTGTATCTAACTAGATCCATGCTAGTATTTTATACACATTCTTCATACAGTACCCACAATTGCATTATCGTTGACACATCCCTTTGACAATGGCCAGAGTAGGGAGATCCAATAGACAGCTATAATCGGCTCACACATCTTCTCCCTACCTCACAGTACCTCTCCCATGTGTGTGCTCGGGGTGAATGCAGCCATCAACTTCGGCCTATCGCTCATTGAGACAAGCTTCACGCACGTGTTGGATCGGGATGAAGGGCCGTATGGCCACCTGCAGTTTGAGGGCAGACCCGGGGCTGTCGCCGTTTGCAAGAAAGGAATGTATGCGCAGAACACCACAGACGAACAGGTACGTGTGCATCTTTTGGACTACGTGCAGTTGTGTGTACGTTTGAATACGGTGTGCTTGGGTGCAGTTCAATATATGGGTGATAGTGGAGTTATATGTGTTGAAACTAGGAGTGGATCGGACATCTGGGACATCTGGAGCATCTATCGGTACCTTGAATGAGCTACTTGCGGTCAAGAGCGAGGCCTTTGCTGCTCCTGCGCTTTGTGAGGAAGGTCATTTCTATCAAAATACGACACGTGAGTAGGTCGGTTACATCTTATGTATCAGTATGTATCGATGTATTAGTATGTATCGATGTATTAGTATGTATCGATGTATGAGTATGTACCGTTCTGAGGGAGTTTTCGTATAGAATGTCTTTGTATGTGTTCTGCAATAGTTGAATGTGCCTCGATACTGCGGTGTGACCGCCTAGAGTTGGAGGGCAGATTCGGCTCTCCAGGGCTTGGTTGGCTCAGAGCAGGCAGGCATATCAACCTTTAGAACTCTTAAGTAGTACATATGCACAGGGAAAGCAGAAAACACATATCCGATTTCTGACATATGAATCAAATGTGCCAATGCGCTTCACAAACCACAAACTGCACACGCTCAAGACGTATTGGCTTGGTACGCTAACGAGGGTTTCTATTCTTCAACTGTTTACAGACACCCATGATGACAGCTCCGATAGACAACCCTCCGGTCCGCTGTGACTTCTGATCCATTAAATACAAAACACAAGCTATATATTTCTGTATATTTCGGCATTGTGATGCACTCTGACTCCTATTTGTACGTTATATAATTAGGCTTTTGCCATAACTCGATGATTTTCTGTATGGTGGCCAATATTTATTGCAATCGGGGGGTTATTTGTCTCGGTGTATATAATTCATGGTGGCTCTTTTTCATCAACTTTCGTCGTTTTTGCAACGGCAAATGGGCATCGCTACCAGCCTTACAGCAAAAAAAAAATGTTGTGAATTAAGCTGTTCTCAGATCAAAGGTGCTCGGAAAGGTAAAGTATTTGGGCTCTTTTATTGGCCTTAGTCGTGAACTTGTTCATCTGGATAAATATATAACTACTACTTTGAACTGGGCCCCGACAACCCATTAGGTCGAGGCAAACACTTATTCAGATCGCTGTCCCTATTAGTTCTACTGGTATAGCCTAGATGTGCATTCTAAATTTATCACAAGCTATCATCTTGAGCCCAAAGTGTCTCAGGTCCATAGCGCATATAATTGTCAGGTGCGATTGTTGAAAGATTATTCTGTACAAGTTATGAGTATTCTATACAACATTTAGAGTCTCACCACCAAATAAACATTGAAGCCATTGATTTGATTATATGCGTTGGTTAGGGGCGCCTTTTAACCTTGGATTGGCGAAGGGTATTGATACTCGACAGACTATTTGCTATGAAGCCACATCCAATCACTTGTCTTGCGCGTGCCGACATAGATGAGGAACTTATTGAGTTTTATACTTCCCACGGGTAGACAAATATCTACCACAAGGAAAACATACTGAGTATGAATTGGTACACCGCTTAGAATCTTGGTATATGGTTAGTTGCAAATTAATTTTCCCAGTCAGATATCCAATGGTGAGCGCTATTTACGCACCAATGTTGTTAACTAGACCAATTCGATCACTTAACAAACTTATCTGTTCTGTTGAGGCTCTATGGTTGAACCATCCATCGTATTCAGAGAAGAGAATCGACTAACATAACCTGCTAATAGACTAGAGCAGCCGATACTCTGGTAATTGTTTACTATTAAGTAGACTACAGCCTCTTCCTAGTATCCGCATGCGGTTATTGTGCCTTTTTGACCTTTGTGGTTTCCTTTTCGTTTTTCTCTTGTGTGATTTGTTCTACCCCTGGACCGGTGATTGTGATATTTGGGGGGGGGAGGGTTGTCGATCAATTAATATCTATCTCAAGAATACATGAATGTTCTTGATGCGAATACCTACAGCGGTCTGGCGTAGTTAACAGATGCATTTTCAAGGTAAGCACAGCCTTCAACACAAGGATTTTGTATTACAACGGTGGGCGACGCTCTATTATCGCTGCCCATCTCAACACAAGGATTTTGTATTACAACGGTGGGCGACGCTCTATTATCGCTGCCCATCTCAACACGACGTTAAGTGCGAAGGGCGAATATGACCAAACACCCATATGAAGTCCGTTATAGACAGATGGATATTTTAGTACCATAAAAATGAACACAGAAGTTTTATGTCAACTTTTCGTGTAGATGCACGTGTACAATTGCAAGATAGGATTACTACCCTAGCTGTTCTTAGTCCATTATTGAATGATTCAGCACCTACAATTCGTTTTTGTCGTACAATGTGTCGTTCTTTTCTTTGAACTATTCAATGACTCACTGTAGAAATTAGCTTTTCTCGTACGATGTATCCTGCTATTCGTCTATATTATTGAATATCTATTGCCTAATTTTCTCTTCCCTGTCCTTTTATTCATACAATGTTGAATGATTCGTCGCCTATAATTCGTTTCCCGCGTACAATGTATCCCGCTATTCGCTCAATAAATGAGTTATCGCCTAAATTGAACTTTTTCGGACGATGTGTTCTGTTATCGTCCATTGGTGGGTTATCTTGCGCTGAGAATATTGAGAATAATACGAAATGTATCTTCCAAGTGTTAGATTTCACTTGAGACACTTTTTTGTGTATATTCTAATTTCAGTGGAAAAACAAATAGTGAACTGAATTCTTAGATTTTCAAAATTAAAATAATATGTTCCATGCCATTACGTATAAACGTATTACAGGATCATAAATATAAACGATCAAACGTTGATCCGTCTATAATATACGTTGACATGTGCTTGTACCCCGGGGATAAGACTTACGTCAAGCCACTCTGCTTGTGTCAGTAACTAAATAGGACGTATTGTGGTGACATACTTTCTACAACAGCTACAAAATCTATATACACTCTCCACGAAAATCTGCAGGTCCTCTCGTTGGGACAACTCCAATACTGATGAATATATAAAAATGTATTTGGTGCCAAAAGGTGTCACCAGCAGGCAAAGACACATCCAGTCATGGGAAAGTATACAAATATGACACACAGAATAGAAGTATATATATATATATATATATATATCACGAAAAAAATCGATAGTCACTCTTAACAGTATCTAAATAGCCTCACATGTTATGGGTCTCGATTCACTATGTATACACGTCACTACCAGTGTCTTTGTATCCAGCTGAGTGGCTCGCCGGTTGCCAATATCACAATACTGCTGTCAAATGTGTCGAATTTATGCACAGGCATCCTCATTAAAAGTCCTATTTCGCAATAAATTAATAAATCGTTCACGTTAAACATGCCCTTGCATGCAATAAAAAACCATTAAACCTGTGATTTGAAAGTACTCTCCCAGTAGAAACGAAGTATCAACAACGACAGTAGACAGCGACTGTGGGGGTAGCTTTATTGTTTAATAAAAATTATAAAGGGACTATGAGTGTTGTTATATTGCTTTAAACTAATGATAAAGCATAGCGACTATTGGTGTAGCTATTTTGCTTAATAAGAAGTGTTGAAGTGCCCTTTGTTAATCATGGCTCGGATAGAGGTTTTGCTTTGATACGAGCACAACTAATTTACTACATCCGTTGAACCCCCGGACGTGGTCCAAAAATAGCATATATGCGCACACAAAAGGAGGAAATAGATTAAGGGGGTATAACAGTGGTTCAAAGGCTGATCAAAAACTAATTTAAATACACCAAGTAACGATGAACTACCCTAAATACTTCTCTGACCTAAATAATAGCGCATTTGGAGGCAAGCAAGACCTCAATAACAACAACATCGTATCTCCTTGCTGCCGCTGCCTAAAGATTATGCAATACACCCAGTGAGGCCCGCCGTTCGCCTGTATGTTTTCAAGCTCGCATACAAACAATTGAAGCACAACTTAAATCGTATACTAGTAGATGGCCCGGGTTTGAACGCCTACACTATGCATTGCTAGACAAATAAACCCGTTTGAGTCAACGTGTGCTGGCGAGCAACAGCAACAACTTCGCGTGGGTCTTATTGAACAACACAACCTGTGCCGCGGCTGATGATTAATCGGTTGTGCCGTGTTTGGAATTGTGCACGTGTGTATGGCGGCGTAGGTATCGAGATACTTTGAACTTAGCACCGCACGCAGGATAGTCGCACGCATAAGGTCGTTCGTCCGAATGCAGGCGTGTGTGATTTACCAACGAACTTCTTTGCGTGAAGCTGTCGCCACACCCAAGATAGTCACACACATAGGGCCGTTCACCCGAGTGCACTCATTTGTGTGCGTTCAAATGAGCTCGTTGAACAAACTTCTTGCCACCCCCAGGATAGTCACATGCAACAGGCCGTTCGTTCGAGTGCACGCGTATGTGATTTCTCAACGTACTTCTACCCGCGAAGTTGTCGGCACACCCAGGAAAGTCACACGAAAAGGGACATTCGCACTTGTGTACGTATTTGTGCACTTTCAAATTACCACTATGAGCAAACTTCATGCCACACCCAGGATAGTCACATGCATGGGGTCGTTCTCTTGTGTGCACACACATAAATACATACATACGTACAGACAGACACACACACATATATACATATATACATATATATATATATATTACATGGAAACATGCACACATACACACACAAATATATATATATATATATCATACATACATACAAACATTCATACATACCTACATGCTTGTATACATAAATACATGCATACATACATACATACATACATACATACATACATACATAAACAAATACAAACATGCATGAATGCATGCATATCTACCTACATACATGCGTACATGCATACATACATACATGCATACATGCG